ACCATGATAATTTAAATAATGCAATAAATATGACATTTCAATATTTATTATGTTAGAATGATTTACTTTTTTTTTTTAAATCATGACTGTGCTACAGTCGTGGCGTCATTTCCACAAACTAGAAATTTTCTCACAAAGATTAATAAAATCTATTTTTTTATACGCAATAATTTTGTTGACTGAATTTTTCTGAGATCAATTAACAATATTTCCATGCTTTGATTCATTTTCCAATATAACTTCAATATTTAATATTATTCACGTGGTGAAGAGGCATTATGTAGAGGTTTATCTTGTAAAAATAGCTATTGTAAAATGTGATGTCTTCCCTAGAGAGCCATTCATTATATTCCCATAAAGACTACTTCTGATTCAACACTGTGGGTACGAAAGGGGAAAACGTCTATGCTAATCTATGCCAAACTCAGAATTGCCTCTTGGATGGATCCCACTGTGTGTGTGTTGCAGGGACAGGGGTATGGCTGGAGAGATGAATGATGGAAGCAAATGATCACATTTCATTATGTCTTGTTACACCCACAGAGCACCAACTAAAGCAAAGAAACTTCTTCAATAGGTTTGGAAAGCATCAAAGCAGCAAAACAAATTCAGCTGCCATTTCACACACACACACACACAGGAGTCGATATAGATCACAAAGCAGGTCCTTTAACCACAGGTTTCCACGAACTCTGGGATAAAGTCCCTTTCCTTAAAGCTCAAAGCAGGGATGAGGGGAAGAGCACTCCTATTTATTTTTGAGAGAAGGCTCTGTGATTTGGGAGTGCTGTAAACTGAGGACGCTGATACTGTTTGTACAAGTGGAAGATTACAGAGAGAGCAGCTGTGCCAGTGGCCTCAGCTATAAAACCTGGCACATTAAACAAGCCCAGAGTCACTCTAATAATTCATATAACATAGACAGAGAAAAATAAAGGCCTGGAGGATCTGCTGAATGAATAAAAACGGTCAAATCCAGTTAATCAGCCAGAAGCAACATTAGCTGGAATGTACATAAGAGTGCGTGTTTGTGTCAGCATTGAGCAAAATTCTGAATTTAACAACAGGGTCACTTTGAATTTATGAATTGGAATATGAATTGAAATGACAGGATTTTCATTAGCCAAATGCTAACCCAAAATCATTTGCATTAATTTACAGTAATTATGTATATTTGTTCCTGGACATGTAATTTATTTCTCAATACTGTAAATTGTGGGTTCAGTACAGTTAAAACAAATAACACACCTTCAACCTTTGATTATTTCATACAGCATCACAAAATATACACCATGCTGTTTTTTATATAATTTTATAGAATACATTTTAACACCAAAATCTGTTTCTATTGACTATCTACTACAATAAATAAGTGAAAATAATAGTACTAATTAAATATAAAACAAAATTATAAAATGTTATATTATTAAAGTGTGTGTGTGTGTGTGTACCTGTTTTTCTATTCTGGTGGAGACTTAAACCTGAATACACACAAACTCATGGGGACTCGTGTCACTGTGGGGACCTAAATTGAGGTCTCCACGGGTAAACAAGCTAATAAATCACATAGAATGAAGTTTTCTGAAAATCTAAAAATGCAGACAGTTTCCTGTAAGGGGTAGGTTTAGGTGTAGGGTTGGTGTAGGACAATAGAAAATACGGTCTGTACAGTAGAAAAAGCATTACGCCTATGGAGAGTCCCCACAAGGATAGCAAACCAGACGTGTGTGTGTGTGTCTGTGTGTGTGTGTGTGTGTCTGTGTGTGTGTGTGTGTGTGTGTGTGTGTGCGCGCGCGTTTGTATTATGACATGGGTATGACATAGGTATTGCAACAAGAAGATGATTTATAAGGACATTTTGAGTGTCCCCATATTTCAAAAGCCTATGTGTGTGTGTGTGTGTGTGTGTGTGTGTGTGTGTGTGTGTGTGTGTGTGTGTGTGTGTGTGTGAATAGAAATAGAAATAGAAATAGAAACAGAAAATACATTTAAAAAAATCTTTGGTGGCACTTGAAATGTTTATTATTAATATTATGTCATTGAACATGTTTCTGGTTATACAAAAAAAAAAATCTCCCATAAGAAAGAAATTTCTCATCATGGAAATGTGGAAAAGCCAAACATTTTAAGACACTTCAAGTTCCATATAATTCTAATGTTAATTTAAAATAAATATTTCTACAATAACAGTAAATTTGTGATCTCTCATTTTGTCATTGAAAAAGTCTATGAACACTGGAAACACACCAAAATCTTTACATAATAGCTGGCCACTAGGTGATGATTCTGGCACTCTCTCACACTTAAACTCTTTTACACATATTTCATGCTCTGGTGGAGAAACGCTATCATAAATGGCCAAATGAGCAGGCAGATATCAGAGCAACTGAGACTGATCCTGAGATTTAACCCCGATACCAGAAACTACTCAGGCTGTTTTCTCTCTAACACTGTTTTCTCTGCCTGTATACATTTTTCAAGTCTACTGACAAAAGCTTTCAGACTCCTTTCTGTTACTTGTAGCTCTCACAAAGTACTTTTACAAAGATCTGCACTTAGACTGTATTTTATTTTGGAAAAACTTACCTGCCACTTCAAAAGTGTGCAGGTGCATGACCTTTCAAAATGTGCGACTGTCAGTGAGTGTAGCTGTTTGTGTGCTTTAAATTTGAGTGTACATATTTCTCAGAGTGTGTGTGTGTATGTGTGTGTTTGCAGTACTTGTTGCCAAACCAGGCTCACTTTGCTGAGAGCAACATTGTTTTCTAACCATACTGTATCAATGGCCTCTGCGTTTGCCTGAACTGAGGTCAAAGCCAGTTTCGCTCTTTATAAAAACAGAGCTTTTGGCTCAGACACTGATATGTGACCTCTTGACCCCTCATCACTCTGATTCCCTCAGGAATTTCTGCAGCGTTGCTCCATCATGACTATGTGTCTTAGGAAACATGTCTGTGGCTCAGATTCAAAGTCTCTCGCTGTCTGATACATGTACGTCTTTGTTATACATTGTGTAAAATGCGTTACATCAAATGAGTAGGGTTCCGAATGCTAAGTATTTATGATACAGTGGCCAAACAATACCCCGTCAGCATTGATGCTATCCAATGAGGCCATGGGAACAGAGGAAGTGGCAACATTAAAGAAACATGGTAGAGAAATGCATAACGAGCACCTCTTTTCAAGCGTAAGCGCCATAGGTAGAGTTCAATTCATGAGTCTGAATTTGTTCTATCTAGCTATCTATCTGTCTGTCTGTCTGTCTGTCTGTCTGTCAGTGTCTGTCGATCCATCTCTCATCTATCTATCTGTCTAGCAGTATATCCACCCATCCATATCTATCTATCTATCTATCTATCTATCTATCTATCTATCTATCTATCTATCGATATGAACACCTGAGCAAATCACTTTCATGGTTGCTGTTAGTAGAACATATGGGTCAAAGGTCAATGTCAAAATGGTGGATGTAGTTTTTCTGTTAATATATTTAAACTACTGTACACCTATAGAACATACTTTATTAGATAGAAGTCCTAAAGCTCATTCAGGACATCTTAATAAAGGATTTTCAGGATATAACATTATATTATATTATATCTTTCCATGCAAAATATAAACAAATGGGCATGATCAGACATCACTCACTGTAGCTATCAGCATATTGCAAATACGTACAGAGATCAATTTATGAGTGAGTTTTTTGCAGAGTTGTGTTTGTGCAGACTTTATGCTCAATAATAATTTTAAAAGAGTGCCTGTCGAGGACTCTGGAGATCAGCAAATGTAATAGACTGACCCCAAGAGAAGAAAAGAGGAATAGAGACCGCTTGCCAAAAGCAGGGTGTTTCTAGTTCAGAGACAGCACTCTTCATTATTAAGCTTTAGCCATGTAATAAGGCGAGCTCTATCTGTGGTGCTGTTTGCCAACAGGAGGGACTTGTGGTTGCTCCAAATGTGACAGCATTGACTCCAAATGCACTGGCCTACATTCATTGTGTGTTGAACTATTTAGTAAAGTGCCCTAGGGCTCAACTTGAGTGTCTGCTCTTAACTTCATTTGATATCTATTAATGATATGGGTCATTATAATTTTAGACTATAACACTTTCCAAAAATGAGAAATGACTGGTTCACTTACACATTTTGATTTGCTTTTCATCTGTATCATTGTGCAACCTAAATTAGTTAATGTCCTTTTGTATTTGTGTGTGTGTTGGTGGTTCTCCGCATCCAAACTAAAGGCTAATGAATAAGTTAAAATAATAACATAAAAATAAATAAGAGATTTTGAGTTCTTATTCAAGTCTGCAGCCTGTGCAGAATTATAGATGACACTCTAGATGGGTGACACTCTGTACCTCTTCAAAGACCTATTCACACCAAGCATGAATATTCATAGTGAATGATGGTTTCTCAAAAAAAAAAAAAAAAAACAATATATAGAACAGAAACAATTATTTCTATATACCTATTCACATTCAGCCACTGACTTACTGTCATTTTACCAGAGTTATACATCCTAAATTGCACTATAATGGAGAACCACTTGCTGTGAACCACATTCATTTGTATGGATAATCTGAATTTATTTGATCTTATTTAAAGTTTTGGTCCTTAAAATTGAATGGCCGCAGGCTACATGGTTTCACACCAATAGGAGTCACTGAATTCATTCACTCGATTTGTTCAAACATACTGATTCATTCAGGAATTAATCTTTGCTACTGTGTGTTGCTGAGAGACACACGATGGTTGATTCTTTTTTGGTTTCGTTCGGTAATATTTTCATTGGAGGAGCAAAAACAGACAGGGTAACTGGCAATATTGTGTTTAAGATGCAAGCTACTCAATATTACCTTAACGTTTACTGAGCATTTGTATAAATTTAATGCTATATTATATTAAATGCAACAATTTCTAAATTGGTGACGCTTTCAGAATGTCTTTAATGTAACGTGGTTGGAGGTGGTTTGGGAGTGTGTTTGTAATGACTGTACCTGTGGCATGCGTGGTTTGTATGGTGAGCTGCTCTCTAGGTCAGCCAGGATGCTGGTCAGAGAGTCGATCTCAGCATCCAGACTAGAACGTCTCTCTTCTAGAGTTTTCTCAGGTCCTTTTATCTGAAACACACAGACACAGTAACCTGTAATGAAATTAGGTCTTTTAGAAAGAAGGTTGCTCTACATCGGCTAACCCACTTAATCACACTTGAACAAAGCATGCTAAAATAAAAGAAAAATGACTACATATTATACACAAAGAAGGCAATTTAGCACTCAAATACCATACATAATCCACTGTGGGCTACTATTACACAACACCTTGAGCATTAGAGCAATTGGTGATCTTTTTTTGTCTTTGTGCTTTGTCTTTTACATGTTCATTAAAATTAATAGTGGCCTCAGACAATTGGCTGAAAGTGAATTACAGTAACAACAAGACACGATTGTCTGGGAGAACGTCTTTAGGAGAAAATCTCAGTGATGTGAAAGAATAAACAAAAAACAAATAATGCTTTGTTGGTGAGACAGCTCATCTCATATTAATTGAATCACCCTTCAGCTCTCTCTCCCTCTCACGCTGTCCGCTTTATCCGTTTTCACTCTATTTAAAAGTTTCACTGTCTCCCATAATGACAATAACAAAGCTTCACTCTTACAAAGTTCTATTCACACTTGCAGGTTTCTTTATAAGATGTTTACGCTGAGGTAGCACGACACATCCATAAATAAATATCCCACCTCACTTAATCTAAATATTGGGACTGCTCTATACTAGAGCAGTTTGGCACAAGTGTTAAGTAAATTGGCAAATTAATGACAATAGTTTGTAATACAAAATATTGTAAGGTAAACTAAGGTCTTCCTAACTATTCTTAAGCAAAAACTGTATGTATAACAAGTGACTCTAAAGTCTAAGTCTTGGATGAGCAATACATCTGCAATCTACAACCAGCTCCTGTCCTTTATGTCGGAGAGGAAGCAAAGAACAAAATTATCTAAGGCATTTGAGGAATGGCAGCCATGAGACTAAAAAAGGTGTGAGGGGCAGACTTTGACAGCATTCTCGCTCCTCATCAAAGTGGGCACAACCTTCTCCCCTCACGGCTGAAGGACACTGATATCTCTTCTTGTCCTCTGTGGCTTCTTCTTTCTTTTCCCTCATCTTTACATGACACTAGATAAAAATCCTTTATGTGCATTGACAGCTTTGTGAATAATTTTTGTTTGTGTATTACTCCAGTCTTCAGTGTAACGTGATCTTTCAGAAAGCATTCTAAAAATGCCAGTTTGGTGCTCAGGTAACAATTACTTATTTGTTTGTTTGTTTGTGAAGCTAAATCCTAAATAATATTGCTCTGCACTGATTGGCTCTATATTTTTTGGTTTGCTTTAGTCTGCCCTCGTCTTTCAGATGAGAAGAGAAGAGGAGAGGAGAGGAGAGGAGAGGAGAGCTCTTAGGCCAAGATCAGTGACTGACTCTTGATATAATGTTATCTGTTTGGATTACCTGTCACAACCTATTACAACCCTAACATGCCTCTATTTTGGAGCAGAACATGCCCTAAAAAGCTTCCCGAACAATCGAGGAAAGAGCAAACAGAGGTTTGCATCATTAATGCTAAGGTCCTGAACTAAGGTGAACTTAAACTTGAACTTAAAGCGGTGGGGGGATTAATTAAGAATGAATTGCGCCTGCTGATTGTGCAGTTTATTTGCAAGGAGAGGAGAGGAGAGGAGAGGAGAGGAGAGGAGAGGAGAGCTCTTAGGCCAAGATCAGTGACTGACTCTTGATATAATGTTATCTGTTTGGATTACCTGTCACAACCTATTACAACCCTAACATGCCTCTATTTTGGAGCAGAACATGCCCTAAAAAGCTTCCCGAACAATCGAGGAAAGAGCAAACAGAGGTTTGCATCATTAATGCTAAGGTCCTGAACTAAGGTGAACTTAAACTTGAACTTAAAGCGGTGGGGGGATTAATTAAGAATGAATTGCGCCTGCTGATTGTGCAGTTTATTTGCACCTGCTGTTTGTGTTGTTCAGCGACAGATTCACTAAATGAATTATGCAAAACATGTAACGGGCACAAACATGGTTACAATGCTGAATGCTATTTGCATAGTGCAATTCCCCATCTTCCGGCTTCGTTCCTAACTCTAGGTTGCGATCTCACATACTTGACTAGGACTGTACAGCAGATACAAGAACCTGAATTGAGTCTTCAAAGTCTGGAAACAAGCCAAGTTATAATGCTCTTCTCCATCATTTTGATCAGATGATAGCCTGTCCATATCCCAAACATAGCACTGACAATGACAAGGTCATGGGTTCAGTTCCCAGGGATTGCATGAACTGATTAAATGCAGTCTATGACGATTTGGACAAAAGCATCTGTCAAATGTAAATTTGAGGAATAACTGCTGCCATGATCGTCAGAAAATAAACATCTCTTAAATTAACTTAGCAGGCAAATATGGTGATTTCTGAAGATGCACAAGCTATAATAAGCTTAGTTTACATAAAAAGGAGGCTTGTTTGGGTCTAAAAAAATATGGCAGGGGTTTAATGTAAATACACATACTGTAGTAGTATTTCAGCACATGTAGAGCATGTTTAAAAAAGATTGCATTGACAAACTACATGCAAAGGTTGTGTAAATGACTCGTGAATTGATTTAGATCTGTTTTAGGACAGTTTATGTAAATAAGGGAAATAAATACAAAGTTAGTTCCATATGATTATGTGATCAAAAGCAACTTCTGAGGCTATTTCCACAGTGCAATTCCCTGTATTGTTTCATTATTAATTATACTGTGTGCTGCAATTTATAAAAGGTTCAAGACTTTTTATTTTTTAGCCATGTTCCTATAGCAACCAAGATTGAGTCATGCACACACCACAAAAAGATCAACAAGAGTTTACAGAAATAAAATATTGTAATAACACATAAAGCCTTTGGAAAATACACACTTACACAAGTATGTAAGCATTTTCCCTTTAGCCCCTATTTTGTGAGCCATTTTAGGTGAAATATCGTAATTCCATTAGGAGAACCGGTCAGTCAGTTCAATAGCAGAACATAGTGTTATGAAAAGAAAAGGCATAGCAATCAAATGAAGCACTTCCATCGGTTACGTAAGCCATCCTTTTGCATTCTGGTAAGCACCGTTTGAAGAGAGGAAGCTGATTTAAGTGCTGAGTTTAATGAAAAACCACAGAGACAGATAAGTGAAGTTAAATAAAGACTGCATGTGTTGCTACGTGTTCTGTTACGGGAAACAAAAGAATTTAGGCCAAGTATCATTTGATTATTAATGTTCACCGCGCCAACTCCGGCCTCTTCCTCTTGTTAGTTCTGCTTAGGAGCAGAAATAATTCAACATCCCCTTTTTCATTCATGAAAGATGTAGAAAACTGGAATTAGGGAAAGCTGCGGGTCGAGCATATTGCCGCTCGTTTTCAGTAAAGTACCCACAACACGTGAAGACTTAGTACTGCTATCAGAATCAAGAGCTAAAGGTCTTCAGGGGAATGGTGTGATGAGCACAACAAAATGTGCTTTGCCGTGGATTCTTTTCTATGTCACAAACCATCTGCTGTCACTGATCTCCTCTCGTCTGAGATGTAAATATTTGTTTATTTTGAATACGCGCCCTCTAGCGGCACAAATTACATATTGTGCCTTTAATTAATAGCTCTGTTCCAAAACCTAGTGAGCTGCCCACACAAGTGGCCTCTCTTAGCTGCACTCCCAATGCAAAGGCTGACATAAAAGCTAAACTAATTCATTGTTTTAGCCACCTTCAAAGGCAGCAATACAATATCTTTCACAGAGAAGTCTATCCCACAATGCACTGTGACATGCTCAGTTGAAAAAATGATGGATGAGAGAATGAGAATACTAAAAATGGTTTCCACAAAAATATTAAGCATCACAACTGTTTTCAACATTGTTAATAATAGAAATGTTACTTGAGCAAATCAGCATATTAGAATGATTTCTGAAGGATCGTGTGACACAGAAGCCTGGACAAATTTCTGCTGAAAATTCAACTTTCCCATCACAGGAATTATAATTGTAAAATATACTAAATATAAAAGTTATTTTAAATTGTAATAATATGTTTTGTTGTTGTTTACTTTATTGTTTTTAGATGTTTTTATGTCTGAAAATGCTGAAGAAAATCACAGTAGAAGTTTTCAAACATATCAATTCCAAGAATCCTCAAATATGATATCCACCTGCGAGGGACTCCTGTCTTAAAATATAAAGGCAGTTATACATTTTTATGTAATATTCCATGTACCCATTTAAGGAAAATTTATGTTTACAGCATATAAACATATAATATTCATACAAAATATATTAAGATTCATTTTATATAGACAACATGTTTCCAAAACTGTACTGTATTTTACTGTAATTGTACTAAATCCAAAACAAATTATTTAAAAGTTACCTGAAAGATATTTACTTCAAGTCAGCATTGTATATTTTATTATGTACCGGTATAAAGCTTAAGAGAAACATATTCAATTCCATTCAAATGCATTGCTATAGCGATTTTCAGAATAAGTATTTTTCAAAAAGCAGTTTTACTAAGAAAACTAGCTTACAACACCCAATGAGCAAGATAAAGGTTACAGCCGTAAGGGAAAACTATGTGGAAAGATACATTTGTAAAGATAATTTAGAACGGAAACCTAATAAATAAATAAACCCTTACTAAAAATCAGCCCCTTTAGAAGTCCCCAGACCCCAGGTTGAAACCCCTTCCAAAGAGAATGCTGAAACATCTAAGATTTTATTTGATCAAAGCTCCACAGCCTGAAAAGTTTGAGAACTATAACTAATGTTGTAATATAATAACTATAATCAATATAGTAGAATGATGACTATAATCGTGTCATTCCGTATACTCAACAGGTTTCATTGTATTCATTAAATGCACAGAAATGATTTGAGACTGAAAGTGGACAAGAGGGAATTAATTTTACAATATACAAATCTGTTTGAACTCTGTGCAACCTCTGTCCATCAGGCATTGATGCTGGCACAATAGCAACTGACAAAGATACCATTTCAAAAGAGCATCTATACTCGTATTGTTTATGAGATGAAAATCTCCACACTGACAGTCATAAAACCGGACGAGCTTTCCGTGGAATGTCACTTTTGTAATCAGTGCAGCACGTTGCATGTTTATTTGGTACATATTTAGATGCATTGACATTTTTGTATGCGCTCCAAATTCCCCAATGAATTTGATTTACAGCAGAAGTTCAAGCAGAAGCATCTTTGCACCGACATTTAAACACACCGCAGTAAACAAAATGAATGGCTGGGTGCATTTGGCAGCAAGGATCTCCAATTTAGTCATATAACTGGCATGAAACTCATGTGGGAAATGTTAAAAAAGTGTGCACACAGCTACACCATCCAGTATATTAACATCTCTACCCTGTCCTAAAATAGACACAAATCAAACCACAAACAAAATGAACAAAAAAAATGTGCTTGCTGATGATCAACAAGTTATAAACAGTTGAATTTTCACTCATATTTGCCTCTTATATTGCTGACATTATTATTGTTTTATTTTATTTTATTATAATCCTTCAGGGCAGAATTAAATAGTATTTAAAAGAAACTAAAATACTATAAATATATATTTAACAGACATTTAAATATATGAATTAATATATTAAAAAACACTAACTATAAATAACAAAAATATATATAAAATAAATGAAGAAATTCAAATACAAATGAAGTACAATGGGCAACATAAATCTATAATCCCTCACAGGCCTAGAAGAATAAAGTGTTCTAATTACCATAGTGACATTTCCAATGGTTTATCTTTGTGGAGAAGCTCTCAAAATGTGCTACGGCACGGAGACGTCCTAAATGCAGTATTTTATCTGTAATAATCCATCAGAATTCTCTCTAGCATCCGCTGTAGCTCTGAGGTTCAGTCCTGCTCTTAATTAACTATAATATACATCGGACTGGAAACGCCACTCTGACTTAAAGGTTTTTGGAGATGTCCTTCTCGAAGTATAGAGGAGCCGACAATGCTGGTTTGTGGAGATCTGACAGGAATTCGAGAGGGATGGAAAAGAGAGTTTTTAAATTTAGAGACATAAAAGGGGGATTAAACCATTGTGCAGGAAAAATGGAACAAGTACAATGGAGAGGTGATGCCCTAAAATCTACAATCCCAGCAGTGTGATCTTCAATAAAAAGGACCACTTGAAGCACCATGCTGAATAATTTCTCCACTACTTAAATGAAAACTAGCAGGGCTGTAAATGAGAATCATTTTGATTTAGAGAGCCAAATGGAAACTCATAGTGTTTCCATTTATATTTAATTCACATGCATGGATGGATCTTGTAAATCTGCAGGTGGACACGTTCCAAAAAGACGTTCCAGTCTAGAACCGTGGGGCTTCTGTACAAAGTGCAACAGGCAAAATGGAGATTTCAGTGAAAGTGGAAAGACGGGATTTGAAAAGTGAAACATCAGTCCAAAAATGCTAAAGAGATCAGCAGAGAGCAGTGCAGTCCATTGGCTGAAATAAAAGAGGAATGCAGGCTGGATGAGAATGAGGGGTTTGCATCAAGTGGAGGGAATTGTAATTTAAGGCAGGCAGGTCACACGGCACATAAAGAGGGGTTACTGGTTCATGTGGGGACATGTAAGGACACACAACCCAAACGGGTGCCAAATTCTCTGATTTGCTCGGAATTCGTATTGGGCCTTGCATGTTTGTGCAGTTGCGCAAACATCACAGTTAACGGAGGGTACATGCGCTAGTGGTTCTGTACTGTAATAATATGTTCTTAGTTTTAAGACTTTGGATGTTGATTTCAAAACCATGGGCATGTATCTGTAGAATCTGCTGTGCAAAGTAAAAACAAAGCAATTCTGAGTTATCTTAGACTTGGACCGAGTTATCTTTCTCTATCTTAGTTTTCTAAAATAATAATAATAATAATAATAATAATAATAATGTAATAAAGCATTTTGTTTTTATGAAAAAATATTTTTCAGATAATATTTTTATTAATTTATTTTGGCTTCAGTAAAATTACATAATTATGATTTTAATTTTAAGCGCATAATGAAAAATAATATCACACTTTTTTTACACAATATACAGGTTTTTATACATTAATATACCTATAGTGCAGCTGTTTTGATATTTTAGCTCATACAGGGATCATCATATTTGGTTAATAATAATAATAGTTTTTAACTGTTATAGACTATGATGCGTCTTTGGCTCAGTTACACTCTTAAAAATGAAGGTTATAAAAGAGTGTTTTTTCCCCCCTTTTTTAACGTGTCCTTGCTAAAACTAAGTATTACTGAAAAAAAATCCTTACTGACCTCATTGTAAAGTAATTTGTGTATTTATTTAGCATTTATTATTGGTCACATTTTATTAGCCATTTATTTATATATTTAACTGCCCTTACGTTTTTGTGTGTGTACTAACTAAACCTCCCATCTCTTTCTGTTGCTGTTTAATGCAAACTGACACATATTTTTCAGATCCCTACATCTGAACTTCCTGCTGCTAATCTGTGCTTTCATTTTTCAGAATTGATTTCTGTTATGCCGGTAAGCCTTCGGAAAAACATAGCTGAATTTCGTATTTGCTTTTAAAATACATGCAAGTTGGAGGTTTCTGAAAAATTAGGGCAAATCAAACAGCTTCAGTTTCATTTATGACAATCTTATTTGGCTCCTTATATCCTTGCTTGGCTCAAGTGAGACACGAAACTTCAAGCAGTGGTCTGAATTAAGCTGACTAAAAACTGTCATGTCTTTAAGATGCATGTCATATGTTCATTTTCCATCTTTAAAAGCGGGTCAATCGTCAGCCTGTCACAGAAAATGATATGTCATATTATTGAGCTCAGTTCCCATTGCCATCATACCCAGAGATTACTGTATTAAGGCATCTGTAAAGTTTGTGACATGTCCCTTAAGTACTGCTAAGAGGATGTGCATCTAATTCTCCTACAAAATTCAACTTATGTTTCAGTTAAAAACGTTTACACAGTTTCTAGGTGGTAAGTGGCTTAAAGTGCTGTTTTTATATTGTCTACTAATGCTGTCTAGCCAACGATTATCATAAGACAGGATTATCTGTCGGTGATGAAATGAATGGAAACACTTGAAAGTGTTGAAAAAACACTGGCAAGTCTTTCCTCCAAAACTAGAGGACTTTGAGTAGCCGCTGAGAATCTTTCCTTCAGAACCAGAGGACGACTTCATGAAGTTGCTGACACACAACTTGAAGATGAATTTTCATAATTGTATTTTCTCAATGTTTTTGTTCTGCTTCTGTGTCTCTCCCTACAAATTTGGCTGGCCATCAGCTAACCGACTACCGGCTGTTATGTCAGACTCCCCACATAAGTCGCTCTGTGGAAACCTGACAGGAAACCCACAAATGAGAATCTTAACATTCCCGTAGAAACCACAAGCATATGCTGCTTACTTTGCCAAAAGGCCATGCAGATAGCTCACATACTTAGTCTTATATTGTTGATCATGTCCATTCCACCCATGCAAGTTTTCAAATAAATGTTCTTCTATTATTCACTGAATGTTTTCATGACTTCATGACAAAATCCATATGACCTTTTAATAAAAGGCTTTTTCTACTTATATATTTGAACAGTTTGGTTCTAAAATGCTATAAATCCATTTGGATTCATTTGAGTAAAAATGTGGCAAGATTGTGTAATCTTTACAAAATGTAAAAGAAAGTGGCAAGATGAAAACCACTATTTTCTGTTTCAAACTTTCACATACCATCTTTAGGTTATAATAACACTAAAAATTCAAATCCAGATTTTGATTTTCAAAAATGTATTATAAAATGTTATTATTCTTTCCCAAAATGCAATAAATCCATGACACGTTTTTTTTGTTTGTTTGTTTGTTTTTCAAATGCAATAAATCCATTGAATCAATTTAAAAGTTATTTTTCATATTGAAACTGTTGAAAATACACAACATAGTAAGTTGATCCACATATGACAGCCTCTGAACTTGGTCAATACAAATTGTATATACAGGCACTGGACTAAAAATACATTCAATCAGTCATCGCTCCCAAAATTCAATGGGTCATCTTGTTAATGCTATAAATTAATTACAACAATAAAAGAAAATGTCAACATGAACAACAATAGGCTATCACATTAAACCACAGAAACCACATTCAACTTCTACAAGTGCATTCATCTTTGCCATGTTACATTCATTAGTTGACTAGTGCTATCGGCTGTATTAACAAAAACATTAATGGCATTAATAAAAACACTTACACTGACAAGCTACGCAATAGCGCGTTCATAATCGAATGCGACTCATCTGCGATTATGAATGCGATATTGCAGTGATCTACGGCTCTGTGTATTGAATGCCGCTCCATCTGAAAGCACGTGATGGAGATTTACTATCAATCACAGAACCGGCATTACTGACGAGATGCGCATGACAATCACATGCGATTTATCGTGCAGCCCTAAGTATGTTTGTTGATCACAAAGTACAAAATAGATGAGGAAAACTAGGATGCCGGGTGTATTCAAAGTGCCGCCATTACTGTCTAGAGTGCGTGGAATGGTGCGCTGTGATTGGTTGAGCGGATATATCGCATTCTGCAGAGAAGGGAGACTGACGTTTGTCGCGGTTTGGAAAGAAAGGGAGAAAACATGACACAATAACTCGGCGTATATGGCATTTTGCGTAAAATTACAAACAGACTTTTCAATACCGACCAGATACAATACTGATTTTGGCGGAACCTTACTTTTTTTTAAAAAATGGCGTTTATCGCGTTTTGGACCCAAACTCTTCATTTATGCCCAACAAAGTCTCAGTTACTATTCAACTAATGTTTTTAGGTTGCATTTTTGATTTACGTCACCTAAGCCATGGGCTGATCAGGTTTATAATGAGTCCTCCCCATTTTTCAGATCATTCCTACCCTCCTGCCAAAGACCATTCCTTCATCCTTCTAGTATAATTAATGAGGAGGTGAACTAAGGCTGTCAGGACATAAACAGCTCCCCGTCGCATCCACAGTGCCCCTCAGGTGAACTCCAGTCCCACATTACAGCAATGGAAAAGAAATGCCCATTACATTGCATGTTCTCTTCTTGAACTCTTTCTGTCGAACAGAAATGCAAGCAGCGAGTGCAACGGTCACGTAGGCCTATTTACTTTAGTGTCCAATTAGCCTGGATATATAGAAGCATTTAATCAGCAATCTCGGTCTATTATTATTATTACCATTTCTCATTAGTCCTCACTGCCAGTGCCAGCATAACAATCCCACCTTGTTAAATAATGACTTTATTACTGTGTGCAGCATATTTAAGCTTGCAATAGAGGATGAGAATATGATCCGGACAAGGTGACGGTCACTCCTGCATAACCACAAACTTCATTATTTTTTAAATCTGTGAGTGGTAGTATAATCTGAACAAAAGAAAGAATCCTGCAATATTGTTACACAAGATAAACAAGCAATTTTCACAGAGCCCAGACCTTAATGATGGTGGGTGGTGAAGGGTGTATCACAGAGATTACTTTAATTTTGTTAATTAAAAACATGTATATGCTTTCTATTTACTCACCCTCATGTTGCTCCAAACCTGTCTGACTTTGTCTTCTGTGAAAAGATCTTTTAAATAATTTTGTCTGTACAATGAATGCCTGTGGGGTGCAAAATAACACTGGACCCCACTGACTTTCACTGTACAGAGAAAAAAAAATATCTTGTGTTCCACAAAATAAAAGTAGTCATACAGATTTGTGCAATATCTCCCAAAACTTTTAAAATTTTATTTTAACCAAAAATAAACTTGTTAAATACCTGTATGAACTGAACTTTAGCTGTGTGCGTTCCTGGGTCTTTGAGTTCAGTCCACATCATAATGCCATAAATACACAGTAAGGGAATCCAACGAACATCAAAGGCCTTACTAAATCATTCAGAATTTACTGTCCTAATCATATGTGGCATAATAAAGGACAGACGTGTATGGCTGCCACTTTCCTT